TCTAATGTTTAGAAGTATCAGTGTTATGGAGTTTTCGAGGAGTTGATGCATTTTATTGTAGACTGACAATTTGTGACTGGACTGCATTGAAAACTTTAAAGTGAATTATGTGGAATATGTTTCAAAATCAAACTGTCAAATTCTCTAAGAGGTTGTAGCTATGGAAACTGTGATCTGTATTTATTCACTCCGACTATATATATATATGTGTGTGTGTGTGTGTGTGTGTGTGTGTATATATATATAATTAACTGATCATCTACAGCACAAACAATGGCCGTGGAGTCAAATGAAAAGATCATCTTTGTGGGCACCTCCGACCGAAGCAATAACAAGATCCTGTCCATGGGAATTGACGGCAGTGGAAAGACAGATTTGGCCGAGCGGACATGGGATCCTTTTCGCATGGCTGTCGACTTCCAAAACAGGTGGGTAGACCGGCAACGGTAACACCGGATCCTTCTGCGTTTCAAACCACGTACATAACGCCCTGATTTATCGGGAATGGAATACTTGTGGAAATAATCCCTCAACAGTGACAATGTTGGTTACAAAATGGCGACCTGTGGTTCCTGGAAATAGCAGACTATATTCACGTTTGGTACCAAGACAGTAAATAAGACACATTTCCTAAATTGAGACTGCTTACTACTTTTAGTATGTTGTTCATGATCTTGTAGACTTGCTTTGTGGTGAAATGATTTCTGTGGCAATGGAAGCTTGTTTCGCCAGGACTACCATATTGGACAGGACACGATTGATACACATTTTATGGGAAAATACTTACAAACATACAAAGTTAAAAGTAGGAAAAGTGCCCAAACATTATAACCAGTAGTGTTGAAGTTGAAGGGACCTACGTAAAGACTTCGCGTTATCCGGCGATGTTTGACACAACCGCATACGACTGCCTAATAAGGAATGTACAGGAATTTACTTCCAGACAACCGTATGTTCGACATATAGTCTGTTTGAAGTATTTGCAGTGAAAACGTACCGATGAATTTCACTTTACACAAAAAAGTAAATCAAATAAAGATTGCGAATCCTCATAATTTTACCTTGCCAATAATCGCTATTATTGGTTTGTATTACAAGGGGGTATGCGCATTAAATGAAAAACCGAGAACATGCAGCGTTGGTGGAAGTTAACGCTCATCACGTACCACACGTGCACTTGTTTCACTGTTCAAATTACTGCGCTTACCCCCTTACAAACTAATAATAGCGATTTGAATCTATGATCGTTTGTTAAACAACTTTTATCCTAAGTTGAATAAAATTCTGAGATTTAGATGTTCAATCGTCAGGGTAAAATTATCAGGATTCACAATCTTAATTTCACTTTATTCGATTTACGTTTTTGTTTAAATTCATCGGTACTTTTTCACTGCAAACAGACTATAGTTATAACACGCTAACACGGTGTTTGTACCCCCAGGTATCTGTACTGGATGGAGTCGTGTGCCTGTGGCTGGATGTACAGGATGCGCTATGATGGGACTGGAATAGAAAGATTTCCGCATGAAATAAACCAGAACAAAAGCCCGCATTCCATTGACTTCACCAGTAAGTCTCCATAACCATCCTAAAAATATCTTGCTGTCATTAAAAGCTACTGTACACATCTGAGTTTTCCTTGCCTCCTCGTTCAGCCCTTGTTGCATACCACCAGTATCAAAGCATATATAGCTTGTTGAATGTGTTGGTCTTGCACTTATCAGACGTCTTTATGATGATGTTCCTAACCTATCTAGACTTTTGAACCTTTTTCTAACCTCACATATCTAAAAGACATCAAATTCTATGTCAACATACAGCTTTTTATGGCAACAGTCATTTTTGTACACTTGAAAGTGGTATATCTTTCAACTTCAGTTTCATTGTGAAAACTATTGCAAAACAAACCACATTGTTGCCAAACTGCTTATGCAGCATAAGGAATATTCGCTCGCTCACTTCAGTGAACAACAATGACTACACCCTTCTTGCGTTTTGTGAATAGGTGGCCCAATGGTTAAGGTGTGCTTTGTCGCGCTGTATGCGGGTTCTTGTCTTCATATGGTTAAAATGTAATAACCTTTGCGAAAGTTTGCTCCACTCACCTTTAAACACTAATTTTACCATTGGTAAGTACGTTCATATTTAAAGCTATTTCAATCCATAAAGACACCGCCTCCATCAGGCGTACCTGACTCTATGTAGTTGAAATTATGTTGATACACGGACTGCACTCGATACTCGACTATTTGGAGCGGTTGGGCAGCCTAGTGGTTAAAGCGTTCGCTCATCACGCCGAATGCCCTGGTTCGATTCCCCACTTGGGTACCCATTTCTGGTGCCCCGCCGTGATATTGCTAAAAGCGGCGTAAAATCCAACTCACTCACACGACTCTTCTGATGTAACATTCTGTTTGCAGCCCGCACCCTCTACAGTGACGGCTACAGGGGCTTGTACAAGATGTCACTGGACACCGGGGAGTCACAATTGATATTCCCAGGCAGAATCAGCCACTCACAGACCCACACCGTCTACGACCCCCGAACTGGCAGGATCTTCTTGACCAACGACAAACGATTAGAGTAAGCTGAATCATACACAAATATGAAACAAAATGTATATTATATTCCAGCCTTACAACAGGCACACACTCTGGGATTCCGCCCCGCCGTGATATTGCTGGAATATTGCTAAAAGCGGAGTAAAACTAATCCCCTTCACTCACTCTGGGATTCGAACCGACCTAAGCAGGCCACTAGATACGACGGGGCATTAAGGTAGCCTTGTGGTTAAAGCGTTTGCTCGTCTAGCCGCCCGGTTTCGATTCCCACATGGGTAGTGTGTGAAGCCCATTTCTGGTGTCCCCGACCGTGATATTGCTGGAATATTGCGTAAAAGCCAACCCACTCACTCACTCAAAAGAGACGACTAAATGGATCAGGTGGTCTTTCTCTGTAACTTGTTTGATAGTGTGTCATCATGGCCCGACAGCGGAAATCTTTGTTCAGTCACAAGATTGTCTGGTCCAGACTCGAGTATTCACAAGCCGCCGTCTTACAAGTGTTACATTGTTGAGTACGGCTCTAGCAATAAGCATACGCTAATGCAACTTTTTCAAGCATACATATAAAAGGAACTCCAGTTAATAAAACCAAAGACGTAAATACGTCTTTGATGAATCTTTGTTCCATCCAAAGTACATGGGTTCTTATAAATTGGTTATTATCTTTGTTCTGTACATGATCATTTGTTTGTTGATAAACATCACACTCAGCAATATTCTAGCTATATGGCGACAGTCTGTAAGAAATCGAGTCTGGCCAGACAACCCAGTGATCAACATCATGCGCATCTATCTACGCAATTGGGAACCGATGACATGTGTCAACCAAGCCAGCGAGCCTGACCATCCGATCCCGTTAGTCACCTCTTACGACAAGCATGGGTTACTGAAGGCCAGTTCTAACCCGGATTTTTACGGGTCTGTACATGATTAATGTTGTGTTGCAGAACCGTCGTTGTCTACGCCTCTAACGGAACGCGTCTTGGCTACCTTGACTGGATCCCACTGACTAAAGACGAGAAAAAGGTCATCCGCATTAACCCTCTGTGAGAGGAAGGGCATATGAAGACACGCAAAACAAGGACAGCAGTCTGAGCTGCATGGTTGACAAGCCCAGTGTGAAGAACACAGATTAACGCGGGCTTTGCGCTGCAAACCTCATAAAATACCTCCAAGGTGAACCGTACTTATTGTGTGTTCTTTCCGATAAACCTTCTGTCACTTGTCATGATTTTGCACCTCTAGAAAGCCTAGACACAGACGTAAAATATTTAGATTTAGCCTCTAAGGTTCGTGAATGAGCGAGTGATTGAGTAAGTATGGTTTTACGGGATTCGAACTCTTGCCTTCGGCGTGGTGAGCGAAACCTTTAGTTACCCAATCGTCGAACTTCTCTCCTCCCCCCCCCCTAAGTTCCGTCTTCAGTTCAAATTAAAACGTCAAAATATGTAAATTCCTCAAAGACAAAGAGAGTGCTATTACAAAGTTTACTGTGAGTAAACCTAATCATACCAACTATTGTTGAGCATCCATAATACTTTCTGTATGTATGTAGTCATTATATCAACATTGAACGTACAACGTAAAGTGCTTAGTTTGCATTTTTATGTTGCTAATGAGGAGGTTAACGTTAGAACATAAACCGTGTTATCTGAACGTCATCGATATCGTCGCTAAAAAGTGTTTTCAGTGTGTTGCGCCCTCGCACAAATCTCTCTTCTCGTTGTGTCAACCCGACTATTATACCTGGTACTTGATGGGCTGACACAAAGTTCACACGTATTATATATATTATGGCCGCCTAATTTCCTGTACTTTGTAAGCATGTAGGCGTATCAAAGGTCGTTCATGCCCAGATGATAACAGCGTTGGACATGGCACAGTTTATATCTGCAACGCGATATGTTGTTTGATCATGGTTACAACATTCAAGACCGCCTCCGTGGTGGAGTGGTTAGAGCGTCCGCCCGGAGTGCGGAAGGTCGCGGGTTCGATCCCCGACTACGTCATACCAAAAGACGTTAAAATATGGTACTTGTTGGTCCCTGCCTGGCGCTCGGCATTAATGGGAACAACAAGGACTGGTCGGCTCGGAGTCAGTATAATGTGTCTGAGTGGGGTATTCATGCTTCACTGCGGCATGGTATCTCAGTGGGCTAGCACTATAAACCAAGCTTCAGTCTGGGCTAGTACAAGCAGCCGCACATACATATACACACGCATGCACGTCGTCATATGAGCGAAATATTCTCAAGCACGACGTTAAACCCAATTCCACCACTACTACAACATTCTAAGGTATCAGCAAGGCTTTCAAACATCGTCGAGGGCATTTGTAAACTGACAGACTTATATCCTCGGTTAAGGGTCCACGAACCAAAAATATCATACAATAATGTGATGATGATCTATAGAAGCAACATGAACAAGATAGGACACAGTTTCGGGGTATTTATTTATCATATTTATTCAACCAAAAGCTGGAACGAATGTTGTTCGATCCGGGCCTCTTGCTCAGGAACGGAGGCTTTCCACATTCAAGTACACGCCATCTTTACTGCGCAGAATCAGCGAACTCTCTGGCTGCGCAGGTTTCCCAGGGATGATGCTAAACCGGAAGTGACGTAATAGCATAGCTATCACGAGCTTGACTTGGAGCATGGCGAATGACTTCCCCACACATCGCCTGGAAAATATTATGATTTTTTAAAACAAGTATAATTTGATAATAATAATAATGGGTAATTAAATTAACTGGAATAAATACACGCCACCGGTGGATTTTAAACGTTTTCGAGCTTTTCCTCGCTATGTTTCCATGTGCTAGGACACGTATGGACGGTTAGAATATGTCCCGAGCAAGCCATGCTGAACCGACAAGGAAATACGGTGGTCAGGCACGGAGACTTGCTTCCAAGTGTGCCATAGTTCACCAGGCAAATCGTTGTTCCTGACGTCAATCACGAGCACTTGATAATCGTTGCATTTGTTTTAATGCGGCGTAAAACAACAACCCCAAACCATCTTCAGAGTAAGATTGTTTAGACACTGTCAATAAGAAACATTACCTGGGTCCCATCGAAAACGTCAGGAAGAAGTCTGATGCACCCATCTCCTCGTTTGAGAAGCGGTAAGGATCAAACACCTGAAAAAAATTAATCTATCTATATATAGTGGACACACAATGGTCAGGGTGGTACTGAGTAAAGAACCATGGTACCAAGTAATGCCCTATGGTACCAGTTACTGACATTTACAGAATGACATATGCAGACGTCCAAGACAGTAATTCTAAGGATGTTGGGTTCCGGGTTAACGGGTCTCCTAATCATTAAGGAGGTTCCACTTTACAGGATGTAGTCCATGGGCCAGACCCCTGAAATGGGGGTGATCGGTACCATTCGGAGGGACTAATTGAAATGGTGTAAATTGATAATGATATCGTCAGTGATTTGTATGTACAGTTCTGTACAGAGCAAAAGCGTACGGAAATATAATATTCAAAGATATATACACGAACAAGAACAAAGTGGAAATCAACTAAGAAAGAAGTTTTCCATACCTCGGGGTCGTGCCACACATCCGGGTTTCTATGAAGCGCAAACAGCGACACGGTGACCCTGATCCCTGTACATTACATGAAGATCATGGTCAAAGGTTGTCTTTCTATGCTGTTTCCTATCTATGTACAGTGTGTAACTCGAATCGGGAAGAAAATGTCACTGTTGAAGAAGATTAGAATGTTACACCCATCTCACGACAACTGCTGTATTATTATGAAGGAAAGGGGACATTACCTTTCGGGACAACTCGACCATCTGGTAGAGTTATCTCCCTTTCTGTGAAGCGCGAGATACTTGGTACAGGTGGCAGTAGACGCATGTTCTCTTTCACACACATCGTTAGAAAGTCAAGCTTGCTGACATCATCCCTGGGGACACATGACACTTGAATGAAGATTCATGTGGATCAAAGCCTACCGGTTATACATTAACAGTCACAAACACAGGCGGCCAACCAGCAGTGATTTACGCACGTTGCGGCAGAGGTATCAAACGTGGTGCTGGTCTAGCAATAACGTCATGATCGTAACTCCCAGACACAATGTACCCGTATATCAGCGTCAGCTATTCCTTTTCATATTCTACATTTTAATAAAAAGAACCCTCAGTACATTACGATCTCTGTAAACGAGTGACCCTCCAGCTCCTGCAACAGCGTTCATTAATACGATCGCGAGTACTCGTAGAAATGAGCCCGTAAATATCAAGGTTAGAATTAATTTTGCTTTCAGGAACCTATGCTTGTCGAAAGAGACACGTGAAGGGTTTGCCTGTCGTGCTCACTGAGTTGGTTATCCCCAAATCTCATATCGATGCCAATGATGTCAGTCAGTGGATTGTCTGGTCCAGATTATTTACAGACCGTTCGGCATGGCTGCAGTGTTGCTGATTCCGCGTTAAACAACAAGCACGACGTAACCACAACAAGCACTACGTAACCTCTCCAAGCAGCGACACTCACCACGTGATATCCTCCCTGTCCCCCATAACGTCATCAACTTCCGCCCTGCACGTGTCTTGGTGTTGTGTGTGTTTGGCGAGGTGCCAGAGACACCAGGTCAAGGAGCTGGACGTGGAATCATGACCCGCGAACATGAAGGTGTCCACCTCGTCAAGGATCTCCTGCTGGCTGAGAGTCTGACCGTCACTGTCCTGAAACATAGAACATGTGCCAAATGTTGCCTTGTAGTGTTCGGACATTCAGTAGATAACTAGCTGCCACTCTTTGGGCTAACCTGCCATATGAACTTAGAAGGACATTCTAGATTTATCAAAGTATACTGAACAGCAAAAAGAAACGCAAGTTTCGAAAAAATGAAATTTCATGAAGGTAAGCGTTCATGTTTATGGAGCGTTCATGGTAAAGTGACGTAATGATCCCCGATGAGATGATGTCATGCAGTTTGACGTCCATACGAACCATTCGCACAAACATACTAACAGCGCAGCAAAACCATAATTTTAGCACGTGTATCGACGGTTCTGGATGAGAAGCATGCATTTCACTCTGAGTTATCCTTTATAAAGGCTTGTGTCAAAAAACAGTCCAGTATTGATTCTAAGAGGTGAACGCCACACAAACGATGCCTAGACTAACGACTGAGCAGAGGGGAATGCCCATTGGAAAGTTGCACGGAGGTAGCTCTGCAACCGCTGTAGCTAGACAATCTTTCCACCATTACACGATTTGCTCAACGTCATCAGCAAATTGGGGTTGCTGCTGATCGTCCCCGTACCGGACGGCAACGAGTGACAACTCATCTAAGGAATCGAACTCAAACAGCAACAGTAACAGCAGCCTTAGTTCTCGGGTCAAGGGGAGCAGTACCAAGCGATACGATTAGGCGTCGTCTTCGGGCTGATGGAATCCACTGCCGATGGCCATATGTGGGGCCAATTTTAGCACGACAACAACGCCAGCGACGTTTGCAGCCCTCACAAAGCAAGGGTGTCGATGGATTATCTGGCACAGAACAACATTAACATTCTTCCATGGCCGTCTCTTTACACGGTTGTGGCTCCCATTGAACATTCTGGGACGAAATTGGACGGAGGATTACTGCAGGTAGACAGCCACTCAGACTTGCACAATTGGAATAGAGATTGGTGTTTGAGGGGAACCAATTGCCTCAGGCATTCTTTCAGACTCTAGTGAACTCAATGATCCCACGTTGCACGGCCTGTGTGCAAGCTCAAGGTGGCTATGCGCTACTAAAGAGACTGTCACTTTTCGCGTTCAAGGGGTATCTCCATTTGACGGACTATGACCAATTTGAACTTATTGCAATTCAATGTCAACAGCAACTTTTAGCTGTTACATTGACAGTGTTTTCTATAGAATAAATAATTAGACATAATTTTGGTTGTGTTCTATTCAAAAACATAACAAAGGCCAGACTTGCATTTCTTTTGTTGTTCAGTATACTATTATTTTCATCACTGATAACAGACAATGTGGCAACCTTTGACGTCATCAGAATATCGAGGAAATCCATCGGCCTGCATCCGGGGTCTTCTGTCTCCAGCAACTTCCGGCGATGTCTAACGATCTTCCGGGAATGCTCATGAATTGAATCACATGCGGCTTGGAACCTTTTGCTGGCGGTAAACAGACATGGATGCCATATGATATTATGTCTTAACATATCAGGGATATATTTAGAAATCAAGCAGTTGACACAAATATAGGTTACTATATTAGGGTGGACATGGTAATGATAGCGATATCCGTTTTGCCATACACTATATGCACAGTTACGTTTTATTTGAATACACTTGCTGCATGAGAAAGTACGAACCACACGCTACGAAACCGCATTATCATTCATACTGGTAAAGGGAGGTTACTCTACACAGTCCGGAGCTATCTGCGTTGTCTTCGTAATTGTGAACAACTGGTTAAATCACCCAGTCCGTCAGTTATACAGCAGATTATTTCTTATCAATTTGTCTCACCCATCTTGTGACAGGCTGTAGATGATGTCGTTATGATGTAATGGCGTCATGATCCGCTTGACGATTAGCTCTGATACGTCGTATACGCCCTGTATGTAGGAGTGGCGCTCCCTGGTGGCAAGACAATAAAGCACAGTCATACGTACCTCTTCACAAGATGAATTGGTCAAGGTTTCGACCTTACGATCACTGTTGGCAAATTTATATTACGTTTCATAACGCAAGATTTAAAATCCAGTGGTTTGCACTTGGGCTGAGACGGGTAACCCGGATACCGGGACGGGTGGGTAATGAGTTGGACCCGGGTACCCGTCTCAAAACATTCATGTGACTTATAGATGAAACAATGTAATATGTCATCCTTTCATGATTAAAAGATTGAATGTATTGTCTTTGAAGATTTAGACATAATTTACAGTCATCTGTTTTGAATGTAATACATGGTTAAGATATTGAATAAACTTGAAATTGTAGCCTCCGAGCTGGAGAATATATTGCCATTTCTTACAAATTTGATGTCAGGAATTAACAAAACGGGTATCCGGGTAGGGTAATATGGGGTGGGGTACCCGGGTAGAAATTTTGACCTGTCCCAGCCCTAGTTAACACTGAACAAGGTGATAGTCAAAGTACTGCACGAGCAACTGATTATTGGAAACTATCGAGGCAGTGATCGGTAGGTGAGTCAGTTCTCATCGTTTCTAGATGTTGGAACTGATCTTCAGCAACCCATGCTTGTGGATGGCGACTAAAGCCTATCTGACCTAGTTGATGAATGTCATCCTACCCCTACTGGTGTAGACCGATGCTCATGCCGTCAGTCACCGGTCCAGACTTGAATCCTTACAGACTGCAGTCATATAGCTCGAGTATTGCTGAGCGCGGCATTAAATAACAAAAACAAACAAAACATTCACATCGAGAGAGCCAGCTGAAAACGGACACCTGAACGTCCTACGTGTGTTTAGGCCCTCTTACCTGTCAAGCTGACAGTTAGTTTCGTACCCGAACAGACATCTCATCATGGAGTCCATAGTGAGAAGGCTGGTGTGGAGGAACATCTCCTCAGGCCCCTCGCTGGCACGGAGCTTACTCTGCAACACACACACACACAAGCTTATGTACAGGAACATGCGTCAGTTGTAGTGTTATTTCGGTATGAATTTCCGAAGAAAAAAGTCCTTTAAAAACACCTTTAGCTAAAACTAAATAGCTAAATATGGGTGCATATATAAATGTGGGAAAGTATAAATGTTGTTCCAATTCAAAACGAAAGAATGGTTATTTGAAAAAAAATAATGAAATTCTTATAATACTCTGTATGCCATGAGACCTGAATTTGTACCAGAAATTACTACACATTTGTCAGTTGTGAATACGCTGCATACAAGCTGCGTAACAATACGGAAGTACAGTAATCAATCGTGATACGAGGCTCATGATGCAATACATCGATTACAACCTCTGTGTCGCATTTGGGTACAACTTTTGTAAGCCATCAATCAAATAAATTTTTTCAGAATATTTACTTTGTTGTTTTGAAAATGAATCCCAAAACATTATCTGAGTACTTTCGTTTGTGCATCAGTTTATTCAGTTATAAGTCTCTTTGTAACGTAAATGGCCTCAGAAATCTCCACTCCCTCAGGGGACTATTTGTTTGAGTGGCATTCTAGAAGTTGGTGGTATAGAGATGACAAAACTGATTCTTGTCATCTCCCTCAGCGACGTCATCCCGAGATCGTGGTCAACAAGCATCCCCTATTCTCACCACCAGGATGTTAGTGCAGTCACGGAATACGTCAGTGCTGTGTTTCAGCAGGTTCGAGTGGAAGGCCGGTGTGACAAGAGCGCGGGTTCGAGACCATTTCTCCCCTTTACTCAGCAGCAAACCATCGCCTGCAAGTTAAGCAGTGTCCGATCGTCAATACTCCCGCCGCTTCAGTACCAGCCTTTATAATAACATAACATTTGAAACTTTCTTCGAGTGTTCTAAGAATGGTATCTTCTTCAGGCGCGTAGCAAGCCATTTTTTGTGTGTAAGCCCGATAAGTTGCAAAGCTATATATTTAGATAGTATTGAGGGTTTGCCTAACCTCTTTAGCAACAATCATGTGTAATCCCGGTCTCTTTATCATAATGGTAGCTACGCCCCTGTTTTAGCTACGCCCCTGTTCTTGAAGTCGAGGCGGCGAGGTAGCCAAGTGGGTCGTGATATTGCTTGAATATTGCTAAAAAGAGTCGTAAAACTAAACTCACTCACTCTTAATGTCACTTTGACTGACTTGACAAATCAAATCTGACGAATAAACAAGCGTCATCGATAATAATTTTTTTATGACGTTAGACGTAGCAACTTACCAATCCATGGTCGCATCAGTGCGTAAGAAAATTCATCCTTAGGATCTGAAAATATTAATGATTTATTGTTAGCGTCGCCATTTCTAAACCAACCAGTTGGTTGGACACCAGAAATGTTCCCATATGGTGAATCGAACCCTGACATTCGGCGTGACAAACGAACACTTAAACAGCGGGGTAACCCACCGCCCCATTTCCATTGAAACTGTATCCTTGAAATTAACAATACTTAGATTATATGATTCTGTAAAACAAACTTCACCGAATGTACCGTTATGTGTACCAAATGTATTCTACAGCAGTCTTTGGCATTTCTGGAGTAAACCGAACCGACGTGTTGTAAGTTCGAATCATTCACCTTGACACACCTGTTGATACTCACCTGTCCCTGAGAGCAGCGTTCTGGCTGTGGACGGGTGCACGGACATGAGGAACGCCTCCCCCGGCCCCACCCACACGGGGAAGGCCCCGTCGTACTGGTTCGCGTACCTTGAAATACGCAACATCCCTTCGTAGTCCCCACGTGCCTAGAATGAAAATTGTAACCCATATTACCCGTGAAGGTCCGGGTTAGAATTGGTCTTCAGTAACCCATGCTTGTCGTAAGAGGCGACTAACGGGATCGGGTGGTCAGGCTCGCTGACTTGGTTGACACATGCCAATTCCGCAGATCGATGCTCATGCTGTTGATCACTGGATTGTCTGGTCCACACTATTTTATTTACAGACCGCTGCCATATAGCTGGAATATTGCTGAGTGCGGCGTAAAACTCCCTCACTCATTCACTGCGGCATTAAGCATATCGTATTTGGACTCCTCACAGAAGTTACAAATGGCCAATGTGGAACACCTCGGGTATGTTTTACATCCTGGATCCGCCCTTTTACAAAAATGCTGAACCTGTTTATAGCAGCTGATCTGGAGCTCAACTGTTATGATCAGTACGGCATGGTTCAGTGCTTGATGCTTAACGCTGCACTTAGTAACATTCCAGCTAAAAGAGAGTGGCCTTTAAAAAATCGAGAGAAAAAAAGCAGACAATCCAGGGAGTGACATCATGAACACTGATCCACACAACTGCGATACTACTACATCGACGATCCGGACCACCCGGTCACGTTAGTCGGCTCCTACGACAAGCATGGGTTGCTGAAGACCAGCTCTAACCCGGGTCTTCACGGGTAGGTTCTCTGTACAAAGCCAGTATGTTCCTTACTTCAGACACTACGACAAACATGGGTGGCTGAAGACCAGCTCTAACCCGGATCTTCACGGGTAGGTTCTCTGTACAAAGCCAGTATATTCCTTACTTCAGACACCACGTTGTCAGCACTGCGCACATATCCACACAAATGGTTTACAACCACGGTGCTGTTGTACAAACCAACCTTAGCGCTAAGACTACTTTAAGTCTATGTTAAGTTTTGGGAGTTACGATCCCCTTAGCGCTAAGATCGCTTTGTACAACGGCACCCAGTTAAATGGTGAATTTTAAGGCTGTCCGTTTTTACCTTTCAAAAGTAGGCCTTCCTTTCACACTCACTGAAAATGGGTCAACTTGATCTGCTTTCAACTGTATTTATTTAATAAATGTTTTCAGAAGCAAAGCGACTCGATCTGTATCCTAAATTTAGGACATTACCGAGCTATCTAAACTGGACAACATTAACTGTTCAAACTGTGTGAGTGCCCTCTAGTGGTAAGTTTAGTAAAGACACCTGATAAGACCATGTGTTAAAACAGACTGTATTGCACCGAAACTTGAAACATCAACTAACCTCGTCCAGATTGCCATACCACCAGTGAGGTTTTGGACCAGCAAAGTCTTGGAAGGCTGTCTGTAAGTACCGACGTCGTCTATAAAGTGTGAGGAGCTTTGCGGCAATAACAACGATGATGAGAACAGGCCCGACTGTTGCAAGCAGTGTGAGAAGTACAGCCATTGCGGGATCTGTGAGGTCACTAATTATCTGACAGTATCCGACAGGTATAAGGACATATATACCGGCTAGTCGTTACAGTGTTATCGCTTGTTGGACTAGGCGAAAACAATAGGTCTTTCTGTGCCGAAAAGATGTTCAATCGAGCGTTTTTTCAGTGATTATCTGTGTTTGTGTGCCCGTGATCTTGACAATGAACCTATACATTCAACTACAGAACCCTGCTCATTCCTTGCTAATATTGACAGGTTATATAACCTGTTTGAAGCGTTGTGTTACATAACCCACTGTATGTTAACGTGGATGGACGCTTTGTACAGTCAGTGTTAATCAATGGACCTCTTTTCCAAAATTATCTTTTGTATTACGAATGATATTGTTTGTAAAGTAGTGATGTTCTCTCGCTGTGTTATGTGTTACATACGTGTTTTATATAAGTTTCAATTAAAAGTTGTACAAATATGTTCTTTGCTTGTGTCGTACAGTTGTGTGTTCAATATTATCATCATTCGTGCTGTTCTCTTTGCATGTGGGGTTGAGTTTGGTTTTACGCCACATTTAGCAATATTCCAGCAATATAACGGCGGGGGACACCACGAATGGGCTTCACACATTGTACCCATGTTGGGAATCAAACCCGGGCCTTCAGCGTGACGAGCAAACGCATTAACAACTAGGCTACCCCACCGCCCCGACGGACGTGTGTGAATGGAATGTGCGCGGTTTAAGCATGTTTTTATTCAACTAAATTTGAATAGGGATTGGTGAACAAGCTATAAGCTTATATGAACACCTCTCTCTCGATTACAAGAACAACTAATAATTATATAGTTTGTCATGTATAAGCTGAGAAAAGGGCATCAAATCTGCCTAATTTTACAATATACAAATCAGCAGGTTCAATGGAGTGTGTGTGTGCGTGCGCGTGCGTGCGCGCGTGTGTGTGTGTGTGCGTTGCGGACGGTGTAGAGCCTTATCTTGTAGACGGGTGAGGGTATTTCCATAAGAATCATTTTTTTGTACATGTAATTTTCATTCTCGTGCAGAGAATACAGCATTTGTATATTATTCTATAAATATAAACTACGTGTTATTGTGTAAGTGAAAAAGTTGGTACTTTTCAAGAAAACAGCTTTTCTGTGTTTCAGTAGAAAATTGCGCTTTCGATATTGAATTGAATATTGACGTAAAAAATTGTTTGCCCTCTTTCCAAACATAATACGATATCTTGTAGTATGATTGAGTCATTAGTATTGCACAACAACAACACTTCTTCGTTATTCATCTTAATCACACAAGATCAGGAAGTTGAGTTCATCTCCTGTGATTGTAACACAAGCCCGGATACCATAATAAAACGTTTCAACGAAAAATAAGATTAAAACGAAAAAAGAGAGCTAAAACAAAACGCTAAAAAAAGCTCGCAAAAAGCGTTCTTAACAAAGCTAGCGCAAGCGTCCGTTAAATCCCGGCGAAGCGTTCGTTAAATCTACAGCATCCAGTCTGTTTTAATTTCCATGTGGTGGGGGAACTACTCGGAGAAGGTATAAAGATATATGGTCTCTGAGGTACTAATATTCTACCTTTGCTGAACCACAGAATATTGTAGCTCTCAGTTCACTGTTTGAAGGACAGTTGACAACTGTGTTGTGTATGACGTCCATACAATAGTTTTTCCATGACTTACAGGTTTTATCATTTGTGAGAAACACGAGAAAATTCTGGTTTACCAGGATGATAGTGTCCCAGCGCCCTGAGCACACGTGAAATCAGGCGATTTTATTAATGTATTATAATATTAGCATATATCATGAGAAAACAGTATCCAGATTGTTACGGCACTCTAGATTGTTTATTCCCATTTATGGTCACTGCATCGGAGACCCGTGAAGATCCGAGTTAGAATTGGTCTTAAGCAACCCATGCTTGTCGTAAGAGGCGACTAACGGGATCGGGTGGTCAGGCTCCCTGACTTGGTTGACACATGTCATCATATCCCATATGTGTAGATCGATGCTCATGATGTTGATCACTGGGTTGTCTGGTCCAGACTCGACTATTTACAGATCGCCGCCATATAGCTGGCATGGAATATTGCTGAGTGCGGCGTAAACCTCACTCACTCACTAACATTTGTAAGAAATGTTGCTTTAATAAAACGTGAACGGTTTCCCCCTCGTTTTCTCATTTGTCAAGTTGACTGCTAAATAGTTATTTACCAATAAACCTTGCTGTATGCAAAGTTCAGCCAAAATAAAGGTATTATGAAATGGGGTTGTGATAATATGACAGGGAAAGAGAGAGGTCCCCAAGTGTATCACGACTACATGGGGCTAGGGAGGGGTGGGGGTTGAAAGAATAATACATATTCTTTTATAAAATTTAGCATCTGTTTGGAACCGTTTATAACAAACAGGCAGGATCATGAAAGGTTGTTGCAGGTATTTATAGGGGTAATAAAAATGTTACATAAAGGGGAGCGGGAGGGAAGGGGGTAAAAATATGATAAAGTCCTCACCGCCCTCCCCACTCCCCTCATGATAAATGACAAGACACACGTGCAATAAATTTCAAAGGGAAAATATATTTGGCCACATTAAGGAAATTCCTAACATTTAATTTTTTTTATTAAGCCATAGGTCGGACTGAATGTGCCACACCCACACACAAACACGAGAGTTGTGACACAGTTAAAGGGGCACTCCATTCATGTGTTTTAATCAGACCTTCAGTTTTTTTGTGCTTAGACTTTAATATTGACTTTCAGTGTAACTGTGGCTAACTGTAGAGGCATGCCCAAATATCACTGTGTGAACCCATGGGGACTGACTAACCGAATATATTACACTACCCACGACCTATACTTGAATCATGATGTTCACGACCAATGGACCCGGCATGCGCAGTGTAATCTGAGTGAGTGAGTGGTTGGTTTGTTGCTTAACGCTGCCCTCAGCAATATTCCAGCTATATGGCGGCGGTCTGTAAATAATCGAGTCTGGATCAGCCAATCCAGTGATCAGCATCATTAGCATCGATCTACGCAATCGGGATACGATGTGGCAACCAAGTCATTGAGCCTGACCATCCGATCCTGTTAGTCGCCTCTTACGACAAGCATGGGTTGCTGAAGATCAGTAGTTCTAACCCTGATCTTCAAGGGTCGAACGAATGAGTGAGTGAGTGAGCGGGTTTAATACTTTTTGGATGAGTATTCCCATTATACCACGGTGTACCTGCCTACTGAGGGAGGAGAAGCCGAGGTGAGGCAACTCATAGACGTTTATCACTTTGGTTAAACCCTCGTGTGAAACCCTTTGGTGCCGACTTGCACAGAAACATAGTGGAGACGTACTATGATAAAAGTTCCTGGCAATCCATTTATAGTCCGTCAACCTAACTTTTGGAACATGTTTTTTTTTGCAAGTTACGTTTAAACAACAAAAGGTATCCAACGTTTATTCGCTCACTCAATAATGATATCTGACGACCTAATTGGGTGTTAAATTGCTAAAATTTACATCAACTCTTAAAGAGTACTGGCAAATACTGGAATAGCTATCAACAATGTCGCAATGTGTGTCAACATGTTATGTACATGCATGCACGAACATTTCATGGGGAGTGTTTGTGACGTCACAGCTAGTGTTCGGGTGTCGGCAAGATGCTCTCGAAAGTTAAAAGCGTACATGTTTTTTCAAGAAAGAAGCCAAGAGACAAACCCCTGTATTTTTCTGAATTGCTTCACGAAACGTACACATCATGCTACCAAGAAAGTTTCAAGAACAACGCTTCATCGCATTATATCCCATGGGCGGATCCAGACATTTTGAAAGGGTGGTGGTGGTGGTGGTGGCTTCGCCAACGCAGAAAAAATCTTCAATGTGGTCTTAAGTCATTTTCAAAGTGTGTGTGTGTGTGTGTGTGTGTGTGTGTGTGTGTGTGTGTTTTGGGCTGGGGGTTGGGGTTTCGGAACCCCCTGAGCCACCCCACTCCACACCCACCCACCCACCAATGTACCCCTTGGCAATATTGCAGTCTGACACTGAAACCCCGAGTGGGTCGGGGAGCATCTCAAAACATCCTAAGAAAGGGAAACTGGATGATTTTGATAGACGGGTATATAGTGAGGGATGTAATACGGCGTTTACACAAGTCGAATGAGGCTATATCTTCCAGAAATTTGAAGAAGATACTTCAAGATGACCATGATATGCATGTCTCCAAGTACACGATATGCACGTTATTGTTTAAATATGGACATGAAATCGTGTGGCTTGACGAAACGTGTGTAAATGCTAACCATACATCTTCTTACCAATGGCAGCACACAGATGCAGAGAGAAACAGAAGAATACCTCGTGGAAAATGAGAGAGACTCCTAATCCTTCAGGATGGATCTCGCTTTGGGTTTCTTCCTGGATGTGATGTTGTTTTCATGGCCAAATCCAAGGATGGAAGGGGTTACCACAGTGAAATGAACTCTGCAGTGTTCACTGAATATGTGACTGAACAATTGATTCCAGCACTGGTTGACCATTCTGTGATCGGAATGGACAATGCACCTTATCACAGCTGCATTGAAACCCAGGATAGGTGTCCAACCTCGGCTTCCAGAAAGGGAGATATGATTGCTAAGCTTGATAAACAAGGCATCAAACATCCATCAAAATCAACAAAGTAGAGTTGTACAAGATTATTCTTACCAAAAAGCAACCACCTATTTATCAAATTGGCAATCGGCTTAAACAACATGGTAATGAAGTTGTACGTCTCCCACCCTATCACTGTGACTTAAATCCGATAGAACTTATATGGGGCCACCTTAAAACGCAAGTTGCACTGAAGAACAAATCGTCTAAGCTAGCTGACGTAAAACGTATTGGTGATTGAGGTAATTTGGAACGTCCCAGCAGATTTGTGGAAACTGTGTAGATCACGTTTTGCAAGTAGAAGAACAATACTGGCAAAATGATGGTTTGCAAACAGAAACGGTCACAAAATTGATCA